AGAAAAGATAATGTTAAAACTTTTTTCTTTTCTTTGCCAAAGGCGAGTGTAGAGAAACCTTTGCACTGTAATTTAGTCCAGATTTCATCAGCCTTAGAGCACCAAAGCTCAGAACACCAAAATTTCCAAGTTCAGAGCACCAAAATTATAAACACTAAACTGAACTCAGAGAGGCAGTGCTCTGCATGAAGAGTTGTATTCGCCGAGTGCAGTCAGTGATGCTTCCAAAACAAAAAAGAAATAAAAAATAATAGCTAAGTTGAACACAGTTGTAACTATCTGAAAAGCACTATTTAATTAAAAAAAAAATTGAAGAAAGATAAAAAATTGACTGGATTTGAGTCAAATGCATGCATCGGTCTCAAATGTGGACATGATTTTTTTAGTGAGAAAATAAGATAGGCCAATGATTAAATGGTAAAACCCTATAGGAGAGGGATTATTACAAATACTAAGTTCAGCTACAGGTTACAGAATACTTGTTAAAGTCTGTTCTTGCACCAGAACTCCCATCTTGGAGGCCGACGTGGCATCTCTGTCTGGCATGACCAACCTTCAGTTCCATCCCTTGTTCCCAATCTTCTAAATTCAAACCTAGCTATTTTTTCCTCCTCCTTGTCACATGTGCAGCCAGTAGCCAGAGCACTATGAACACAGAAAAAAAATCTCTCCCTTTTTCTAATTTCAGTGTGGCAGCAACTCCATAATTCTGGAAGAATAACTGCAGAAGTCCTGCTAAGATCTGGCAGATAATCTAACACTTCTTCTACTAACATGGTATATAAACAGTCCTCTTAAGGTATGTTTGCCTTTAATAAAACTCCTAAAGGATTTAGTGTCAAAACACCAGAAATTCTGTACAGGTAAATTTCCACAAGCTTGTAACTTGAGTATGTTTTCAGAGGAAGTCTCTTAATACCACGCCAACTCTCCTGTAAAACAGCAAGCTTCCCCAGTACAAAGGACAGAATTCAGCTTCTCATTAAGAGACATTTATACAATTCTACATACATTTTTGTAGATATGTGTCTATTTTGAATGTATACCTATAGACACACGCATACATGTGTCCTTTTTTAATGATTTTAATACTTACCCATAACATGACACATATACACACTTAAAAAATACACACATTCAGGCAACGCTTAGAGAGCGCTCCTTGCAAGAACTTGTACACTGCACGTAGTCAGACCAGAAAGCATCTTGACAACAAAAAAACACTTTACCTTCCAAGAGCAGGCTGCTGTTTCCCAAGCTGACAAGTTAGTGATTAAAGCAACGGTTCCTGAGGCAAGAATGACTTGCACTTACAGTATAACACTTGGTTGAAAACACTACAACTGTGATATGCTTCTGTGAAGTGTGGATCTCGGTGCGGACCACAATGAGAACCACTAAGTTGAAAGATAAAAGTCCAATTCTGTCTCAGTTTCTTTTCAATGTAAAACCAAGAATATTTGAATAACTAACTTCTCATTCAGCATTCAGTGGAATATCTGTCTCCTATTTATTGCAAAAACTAAGACTGTGGTAACAGAAATTTTCCAATACTTACCATAATTGTAACAATCTTTTAGATAAGAGATATATATGCATACATGGAAGATATCTTAAAATCAAACAGATAAAATGCTTACCCCCAAAGCTGGCAATCTTTGTGTGCAACTGACAGCAACCTTCAGTTTCCAGTCTGTTTCTCCATCGAGCTGGTCAGTTCGAATGAAACACGAACCTTGAAGTTATAAAGACACATCAAACTATTTTTCTGATCTCAAAAATTCAGTCTGGGTTAAAAGAAATTTAGAAGAGTGAAAATAAAACAGTTTACAACCATTTTTAAATAAATATGCCACATATAAAAGGATTCATATTTTGGAATGTCTGTGTGCTTTCTTCCAGGAATGCTCCAGGTATCACATAATAGCACAATTTTTTGATAAAATTAACAATACGCTTGTTTATGAACAGGGGGTGGGGTGGGAATCCTTTTTTACAGGTTTCTTATTTTCTAAACAGGCTTCCAAATGTTATCAGCAAGATATACAACTTCATTGGCTGAAGTTGAAAGAGGTTTAATTTTTTTTTTCTTTTTAGAATTGTGTCACTTGTACAATTCCAACACAATAGAATAATGCACTGATGCCTGTGATTGTTGTCTCTTTGCTGGTATGACATTACAAAATTCTACTGCTTATAGTCTCCTGGCTTCTCTGAAAAAAAAAATTTTTTAAATAAATCCTTAGCATAGATACCATTCAAGACAACATGGGTCCCAATGTATTATGCTTAGAAGAAGTAATTTTGAATCTTCTGCAATTGTCAAGGATCCAAGCCTAAAGAAACCTGTCAACACATGCGCAGTACTTAAGATACAAGGGAAGCTCAAGATACAGACTGATACATACTGAAGAGAATCACTGTGCTTTACAGACAGAAAACTAGTTTTCAAGAAACAGGAAACTTAGAACAGTGCAGAAGTTGAGTCAAAAATAACTAGTTTGATGGTTAACATCAAGTCTGGACTATTACATAGGTTACTAACGTAAGATTCAAAAAAGACTGCACACGAACATTGCCAATCTATTAAAAACATACAATTAGGTACAATTTCCATCAAGTTTGAAGCCTATAAAAAAGGTGGAAAAGTTTTAGCAGTACTCATCACAATTACTACACTAAAGAAACCTTAAATATTTCTGAAGTAATAATTAAAACTTCCATTATGGTACAGCCTAACAACAGTATACACTCTTGTTACTGTGTGCTGTGGGTGTGAAAATAAAAGATTTTTCTCGTTATTTGTAAATTTTAAACAATGTGTATAGACATACATGCGTATACACTCATACTTCCTTCTATATTTCAACCAATCCAATACAAACTAACAAAGTAGTTTCATCACTAGCAGTGATACGGTAGCAATTAAACTGAAGGAAACACTGGCAAAGGAGTTTATCCAGCTTTGTCTTCTTACACAGACGTCCTAGAAGCTTTGACTCTAATAGGCAATACATCAAGAAAGGGTACCTACCAGTGAACACAAAATTAAGAGAGATTCTTTTATAGGACATGTGGACCCTGATGTAAGTAAAATCTAACAGAAGCCAATGTTTTATTCATCAAGGCCTGTAAATTAAGCAGTTCAATGAGCTAATGGCCTGAAAGGACATGCTTGAGAGAGAAGCCACCTGAAATTATATCTGATTAGAAGGTAGCATTTTTGCACAACGGTCTTGAAAGCAGCTTACAAGCCTTCATGTAACAGCTGTATTTATATTAAGTGCACAGTAAGTAAACAAGTCTTTAAATGTTAATATAAACAGCTCTCGGAACACATTATCACAACTAAATTTCACCCAAAGCTCAGAGCTGCAAGCTGCAAAGCCGTATCTGAAGTTCTTGAAAAGCTCATTTTAAAATCTTGACAGGATTCTGTATGGATTTTATTCTAAAAATAAAACATTACAAAGCACTTTTTGACGAGTCCAGTGACATACACTGCATTATAATTAAGGGTGAGGTACCTAGGAACACCTAGAAATACCACGGTTTCACCGCACTTTCTATCCATGGCATAGATGAGCCTACTTTCCATCACACTTTTCCTGTACAAGACATTTTGTGGTTCTCTTTACCCCTCCTGTCAATGGTTGCTCTCTTCCATCAATTTCATTTAGAATTATACTATAGATCAATGCAGTTCAAGACCAGTGTGGCTCCTGTGAATGGTTGACTGCACATATATTCATTTAATAGAGCTCACACTATGACATGTATTGGCCAGCTGCATTTCCTCTCCACTTCAGCAGTTAATTTCATCAATAACTTATCTCATAGCCTGTTTCACGTTTATCCAGAAAAGGGGACTGCTTTCTGCCAAGTCAGCTTTCAATAGTGATCACAACAGCAAAACTGAAACAATACAATCCTCTTCTCTACCTCAAATACTGCAGCAGATTTGACTCAAGTAATTTTAATTATACTATGAGATACTGATTTTAAACCTGGCTTAACTAAGCTATAATCATGGAAGATTAAACATGTAATTAGAAACAATGTATAAAAACGACTCTTCACCCCTACCAAGCCCTTGGACTTGTAAAACACTAAATATTCCCCACTGTGTATTGCACAGAAGTCACACGTACTTTACCTTTGGAAGGTATTTGTGTCAGCAGTACATAAAACTTCTAAAAATCAAAGTTTGCTGAAAAAACAGCTATTGTAACTGCTCCATTTTGAAATGCTTGGAAGCATTGCCTCCTCTCCCCCCAGTCACAAAATTATAAAAAAAAAAAGCCACATCCCCACCCCCCAAATGTAGAAAAACATTGTGTTGTGTACTTTAACAGAATGCGTTAGGTCAGTGTTAAAAACCTCTTACATTTCTAACCTGAATATGACTTGCCAGGAAAAAAACCATCTACACAAACATCAGGAATCACTATTCCCTCTGAATTCATTGATAACTCTTGAACCTGACAATTATTTCACAGCATACAAAGTATCAAAATTTTTTTTAAGTTCTGTGTTGTTTAAAGGAAAAGTCATGAAGTATTTTAAATATTTACCAAAGCACAGCTGTTTACAAAAAAAAAAAAAAAAGAAATTCCACACTGCACATAAATTTTCATAAGGCTACATATAAAGGAGAAAGAATAAAATTAAACTTCTTACTTTACACAGTGAGGGCACTCAGATACTCATTTCCCATAACAATACACAGTCATTCAAGATTAGTAGACAAAGTTGAACACTGTGAACATGTCTGACTTATTTCTGTCTTTATAGTGAAAATTTTGGAATGATCTGAATTAGAATTTAAGGGCTGATTTAAGGAAATTACACTGGCTTTAAAGACTTTAATCATTTATTGAAAGTGGTGCAAACTTCACATGAGCATATTTAAACTAATTTACAAGTATGTAATATTCATTTAGCCTAATCAGCTGAAGACAGGCATAAATCAATTTAGAGCATATCCATGCAATGTCCTGCCCAAGTGCAACTAAACTGATTTTTAAAACCATTTTAGTTGAAATCTGTTGAACTTGTATGCTTAGGGAAGTTGTAGGACTACAATTCCATTTTTTGTGTTTTAGCAAAAGCTCAACTATGAAGCCTGTCCAGAATTTGCCCTAAGTTGGCTTTTCTGAGGAAAAGTAGCACCTGCAATACAAAGGACGAAAACAATTTTAAGAACATGAAGTAACTATGTAACATTAAAATATAAGGATACATTGCTAAATATGCTTGTTTATGGTTATTTGAGATACTATGGATAAAAATCCCATCTTTTTTTAAGTGTTATTTTGTATGTTAATAGACTATTGAACAAAAATAACATTTATTTCAGTAGCTTTTATGGTGTTTCGAAATAGAGATACAAAAGCTCATTCTATGAAGGCACCAATTTAGGGCCATGATATGCTCGGCCTAAATTTGTCAAACAAAGGTACTGTGCTCAATTTCAGCGTAAGCAGGAAGAATCCTACTTACTCAGTGTGTGCTGGGATTAAGGCCTTATTGAGAACACACATGCAGGACATGTACATGTCTGATGCTTCTGGGAATGGTTTACACTTACATGGGCATCAGTGACCTCTTTTATGGGCCCACCTACCTCTAGAAATCCTGAAGAAAAAGGCCTTGAACAAAAATTTTCAAACTAAATACAGGTTTTGCTTGGAAAATGCTGGTCATATTTTAGCCTTAAACTAAAAAAAAAAACCCCAAACCAACAAAACAAACAAACCCCCCAAAATAACAACAAAAACCAAACACAACCCCCGCCCCCAAAAAACGAGGAGGGGGGGAGATAAAACACCCCTCCCAACCAGCAAGAAAAGCAGCTTAATGAAGTAAAACCCAATTATATCATAAGCTTTCTCTTAATTAATACTATGCATCATCATCAGATAGCCATATCTTTTATTTTTTATACTACCAAACTTGCTATTCATATTTTACGCATTAATTTCTTTATGTGTAGATATCTTTAATTTCCTGAAATTGTAGTAATGTAATGTACATAAACTTGTGCTACCACCAAGCACTTACATTTTATATACACGCTTTTGAGTATTAATTACAGTTTTTAATACAGGCTTCTGAAAACAAGTTATTACTTGGGATGTTACATGTTTTCTTAAATGTATTCTAGCTTATAGGGTTTTTAGAATAAGTCACTTGGAAGAGAAAAATTGTTGTGTATAAATTGAATTATTTATTCCTATTTTATTTCATTTGGAAATGATGTTTTTGATAAGCAGAAAGATGGATTATTTCTCCTTAAAAAAATTAGCTTACTATTCAGCCTGTTCACCAAGTAGTTTCTAAAGAAAGCGTAGTTAACACAAGAAAGCGTAGTTAACACAAGAAAGCCACAATAGCAGTATTGACATACTAAGAGCAATCTACTTTGCAGAAGAAAAATAATTTAAATTATTCTATATAAAATTGCATCACCTGATTTTCATGGAAGGCTATAATGAAGAAACAAACAAAATCATTTAGATGATCTGAATTATATCGAGATTTAATATTTGCAATAACTGTGGAAAGAAAACCTCAACTACCCTAGAGAAGGTGGTTTAGTTTGCTGCAGAAACAAAACTGTGTGTCATTCCTAGCATCTCCTGTATATCACCCACATTCCTGTGTATTACTTACGTTGTTCTTTCAGAGACATTTTAGGCAAAGGCTCTTTAGTAGGAGACTGCAAGAGAACTT